AATTAAACAATAAATATAACACAATTATAATTGATGATACATATCATTAGAAAATTAAATGTTTAATCTTTAAAATTACTTTTGTTTTTATTAGTTAGAATTTTTCAATAAACATAAATCATTTATTTCAACAGCATTTATTTTTAACTATCTATTGGCCTTTTATAATATATGAAATAAAAAAGTGAATTTTTATATGTACCGCTCTGCTATATAATAAGTGGAGAATGGATCACTATATAAATGAATATTTTTTTAATTTAAATTCAATTCTACCATTGTATACGAAAAACGATTCTGAATACGGAGACGGTCTATATCGAACTATATCACTAAGTACGTATGTGTATATTTCATTTTAATGATTTTCGAAATTGCTATTAGTAATACAATAGGTTGAATGATTTTTTTCTGAATTAGATTAATTTTTACTATTAGTTAACTATATTAATATTAAACTTTTTTAACGTAACCCAACTCTGTTAAAAAAAAAAAAAAAAAAAAAAAAACTATAACTTAAACTGCTTTTTAATAATCCCTCTCAACGTTGAAGATTTAACACACTATATGGCACAAAACATAATAATATTGTCTTTTGTATTGTATATAAATTGGTTTCTTAATTAGGGACTGTGAGTATATGCTGAGTAGTTTTTTTTCACCCAAAACTGTTTTATATAATTCATATATTATAATTTCGTAGTTACATAATAACTATGATGACAATTATATTCATGACTGACACAATACCATTTGTAAGCTACTTTGATTAAGTATTCTAATATATTTAAGATTAAAAATGCAATTTTTTTTCATTTCAATAACATATTTAAAATACGTAATTACCAGTTAAAAATTAATAGTGATATCACCTTTTTAATTAACCTATAATACAACAGCTCAGGACCATGTTCCCATAGAGCCGAATTTTTAATTAGTTTTTGTGTATTCGATATCCAAATAAGTAGTAAAAACTGAATAGATGACGTATCCGAACTAAACACGGCCAATGTATTAGTGACACAATGTAACCACGTGTTGTTAATAAACGGTAAATAATATTATTTTTCGTTATTAACATTGCTCTCAGAGTGTAATTAATTCATCAAGAATAATGTCGTAACGTAAACCGATTAGAGTGAAAAGTTTAAACGTTTTCTCCACTACAGGAATAATTCTGTCATACCATCATATATAGCATTTAATAATGATGTAATGTTATTATCATCATCATCGTCATTTTAATCTAGTCCATGACGTCAATATTTAAGACTTGACGAGATTATCTTTTGTACCTTGTTGTAGCCTTTATGAATTTCATGCTCGTCTTTAATATTCTAAATTTATGGAATTATACTTTAAATTATGATATTTTATTACACTACATCTATAATTTTTAATCTGAAATAAATAAAAACACCAAACTTTTATTTATTTATAATTATCTTGGATTGAATTAAGTTGTGATAAATAAGATTTTTCTTACTAAAATATACATTAAAGAACATATATAATTGCCACCTACTGAAAAATTGTTTTTGTTTTTAATATTTAATTTGTATTTACTATTTTTAGTTGATATTTAAGTAGCTTAAAAACATTAATATGTATACACCTATATGTAAATAATTTGTATATTTTTATTTAATAGATAAATTTCTTCTGATTAAAACTAATTTGAAAAAAAATGATTATTATATTAAACCTCATCATTACTACATAAATCGATTATCGTAATCAGAGTAAGCATACATTGAAACTATTAACTATTAATAAATTATTATTTCAATTGAACCCAGGTGGAAATTGAATCATATGTTTGAATGTTTGTATAAATAAAATATGTTTACAACGATACAAATACACAAAAACAGATATTTCATCAAAGCGACTTTCTAGTCCTTTTATTTGTTATAATTTGTATTTTAATAGTATTTTATTATTATTATTATTATTATTATTATTATTATTTTATTTATTTTGTATTGATCTTTTTTAAGCCCGGTAAATAAAGACATTATCTATGAGAAGATACAGTAGGATTTTTTGAGTTTTTTTGTGTAAAGTTTGTATGAATTGTATGTACGATTGTGGAACACGTATGTGTATGTGTGTGCGCCATGGATTTGTCGCTAAGAACCCGAGTGGTCACACATCCAAAAGCTAGCGCGCTAGCCGATGCTTGACCCTAGAACACATTAGTGACCTAAGCCAACCACCATGTCACACCAGGCCATTATTATTATTATATTTAAACTAAAACTCAATTTTATGTTTTATATTAATAATATTTTTATAATTAAATTAAATTCAGTTTAGTCATTTTTAATCAACATTTTATTTTTTTAAATTAATTATGCCCGAGATCACGTTCAAGATTATCCAATTATGAATTCTGAGTAAATTAAAATGGACCCATTAATTGACGATGTCCCAGTTAGAGTTATTTTTATCATAAATCTATTAATTTTAAAACAAATATTTAACCAACTTGTACAATAGGTAATTTGAGTTAACATGAAACTCACATTGTTATAATACGTACAACTAAGAATACAACAAATTTTAACTATTAGTTTATATTGTTCATACTAGCTACTAATTTGCTAAGCTATTTTTTCATTGATATTTATACATTTAATTTAATTAAAAAAAAACAAATTTGTAAATATTTGTATTAATTAATTTGATTCGTATAAATCATTGCATTCTCGACCTAACCATATATTTAATATTGTGAGTGTTTTCGTTCTTAAATCTGCAACAGAAAAATCTTCCAAATTATGCCACTCTAAAAGAGCTGAAACTTGGTATGTATGTACAATTGTACTCCGGTGTCAATTTGATATTAAAATAACGCGGATCCGTATTCTGTGTTCAGACCAAGACTCATATTTCTAATACAAATATAAATATTATATTATGGTATAAGTGTATAACAAATAATATTCTGATAGATAATATTAAATTTCTCTTTTCTCTCATATTATTTCTGATTATTCTTTCAATTTTTATTTCTTTGAATGTACCATAATCCCAGTCGAATTCAATACAAAAATCAACAGTTAGTAATAAAATATTATTATCAATACATTGATACTTTAGTCTGTAACCCAAAAATTAATGGTTTTTTTTTTTTAATATATTAAAACTATTGAAGTGAAGAAATTATGAAAAAAAAAATTATTATTTTTAAAAACTACACTGTATACACGTCTTATATACTTAATAAAAAAGATACATTGTTTTTTCTGAGGATTGTGTACAAATAAAATTGTATAATTATTGTGTCAACAGTTAAGTAAACGATATGTAGTTATACCTATTAGAATATGTCCTAGTCATTATAATACAACACAGTACACGTAATGTCTCATCAATCCTTCTTTTACGTAGCCATTTTATTAATAAATCAAAAAACATTTATGTAAATCGGTATAGTGTAACACGTTTCAAATTGATTCGTTTTTTTTTTGTTATGTGTTTTTTTTTTATGTAATAAATAATAAATTCTTCAACGGCTTTGACTCGCCTGCTTCAGCATACGATGTGACGCACAGACGATATTGCATTATATACTTAGGTACCTATACTATATGTAGCTATATATAAGTTAGGTTATGTATACGTATATTACTGACTATATAGTTTTATTTATTTGATGCACGGGCATCGATAACCAATAAACACGGCATGACTTCGTTAGCGAGTTTATACGCACTGAAACGTTAGAGACGAGGCTTTATTTCACTTTACTTTTTATAAACATCGTCTCCTTTTCTTTTTTCACCACATGAAACCATGACACTTTTCGGTTGACAGTACAACGCGCATTGTGTTTTGTCGTATTTTTCGCGTAGTTATGGCACAGTTCACAACTGCTGTGTTGACGTTGTGCAGTAAAAAAAGTTCAATTTGTTTTCCTTATGGAACAGAGAAAGAAAATAGAAATTCCTAGTGTTTATACAGGCCTAACAATGGCGGTGTAATAATTTTCACCACCCCTGATTGGTTATATCATAAACCGTCATTGTTAGAGGGCCGTATTATATTGAGTGAATGTTTTTTTTCTTTATAAAAAAAACTTGCAGCATAGGTAGATACGCAATTTACACCACTGGTCGATTTATTGAAGTTTTTAGTTCATTTTTCTTTTTATTGAAAACGTGACATAAAATTAGTAAATCAATTATCATTTATAGTAAACAAAATGTATTCATATTTAATCAGTTTTAGTTCATATTTAGCTAGTTTTTAGTACCTAAAAATCTACGCTTTATTAATGAAGATTAAAAAATTTTGTAAATATTAAATGCAGTACCTAATAATATATAGCATATTATTCTATGGTTGTATTAATCGAGTTTTAAATCTTTTTATGAAATAGTTAAAAATTTAAAATACTTATTATAATTAATTGATTCTGCTATAGTATTATTTATTTTGTTTCTTCACTAATATGGTCGATAATTATTTTCATGCAAACAAACTTATATTTTACATAAATACACCATATTTATTTTTCAGGTTAATTATAACTTATGAAATTAATTCTTTCAAATTAAATCATCGAATCTTGAAATTGTAATAATTGGTTATTCTTCAATACTTGAACTTGTATTTTAACTTACATAGAGGTATCTCACAATTTTTGTACAATATTTACATTATATTGCTATCAATTATTTATAAATAATAATTTACTTCATATTATTTAGTATTTAATGCACGTATAGTAATCATAGTAACAAATTGTTTAAATGTATAGTTCTATAATTACAAATATAAATTTAATTTTTATTCGTGGGAAAAGTTAAAACCTGTGGTTTCTTTGCACATGATTTAAACCATCAAAATTACAGACATTTGGTATGAAACATTCAACAACGATGTTTTATTAGAATATATTATTATTATATGTACCATTGTGACATTGTTTGACTAATGGTTTTAATTTTTGCGTGTGCCTGTGCGTTCACGGGCATGTATGCTAACTATAGACGATTGGCTGCAGAAGAGGACGACGAACTTTCGGAAGTACAACCGGACGCGGTACCACAAGAAGTTAGGGATTGGCTTGCATCTACATTCACAAGACAAATGGCTTGCACAAGACGCAAGGGTGAAGAAAAACCCAAATTTAAGTCTGTTGCACACGCCATTCGTGCTGGAATATTTGTTGACCGTATGTATCGTCGTGTGATCAATGCTCCAATGATGACATTTCCATCAGACGTTATCGAAGTGCTAAAAGTAAGCTCACAGCGTTCATCTCCTAATGATAAATAAATACTTAAATAACTATTTCCATAGTATACACAAGCATATTATTTAACTGATTCAACAATGAATATTATATTATTATCTCATTTTTTCTCGTAGTGTTCATTGACCATGCAGTCGTTTAATACGAATGATCTCAATCCACTTTTATATTTATTTGAATTGAATTTGATTAATTTGATTTTTATCATATAAGTGTAATACATAAAAAAGTAATTAAAAGTCAAACAATAAAAACTGATTGTTGACCAAAAACAGTACAATTTTATTTCTTTTATTAAAAAAAAAACATGCTAATTTATTTTCGATATCTCTATTTTATTATTTGAAATATACCTGTTATTTTTTCGTACTTATTGATGTTATTGGTATTATAGTTAATACTAATAAATAAAATTATATTGCAATATTATCTAACATGAAATTTGATACCCATAATTCATTTCATTTCATTCCCAGTACTTACCTCAAGAACAAAATTAAAATGCAAATATATTTTTTTTTGTATAAAGAATGTTTTGATATACTATATAATACTTATTAAACATTATAAACTATGTCAGTTAATACAAAACAATTCATTGTTTTAGGACTTAAATGATTGGTCTTTTGATGTGTATAAACTGGATAATTATGGAAATGGACAACCAATCAAGTACTTGGGATATGACTTACTCAATCGTTATGGAATATTTCAAAAATTTAAAGTAAGTTTACTATTTATTATATTATAAGTTATAATCAAATATCTTTCGTTTCATAATATTTTCTCAACTGTACAATTTCTTTTCAGATACTATACTTGAAATGTTTAACAACTTATAAACACAAATACTATAATATAATAATTTATTATGACAATTTGTTTGTATACCACTAAATTTTTGATGTTTTGATCTTATAAACAAGAATACAAGTCAATTAATTATGTATAACAATTAAAAATTTATGTGCAAAGAAGAGGTCCAACATAATTGCATAATTTGTTAATATTTCAATTTCAGACATTCAATAGGTTCCTTGTAATATTGTTTACATGTATGGCGTATGACCTACAAATTCACCTAGATTTTATTCATAAACTCGAAACACATGTAATGCAAAATTTATAAACCCCAAACACTTGTCGAGAAAATTCAAAACAATATTTAATATATTTATACTATTAAATTTTTTTTTTTTACAATTATAATTTATACTATGTTTATAAATTCATGAATTCAAAACTATTTTAATGTATATGTGTTCTACAGAATTTAATTCAAATCACAATATTATAGCTGTACAAAATATTAAGATGAGATGATATTGATTTTAATACAAATGCCCCATTTTATATCACATTTTGTATTACATATACCTACCTATCACTAAAAATTACCTGATGAGTTTTAAGTGATCGAGCTAATACGGCAAAATTGTTTCATTTAAAAATAATACACTAAATTAAAATAAATTGTGTTATTAAAATGTATTATATCAAATTGTATTATACCATCAAACAAAATCTAATAAAATTTGAACATTTACAATTTGTGAACAATAGTCTTAGATACGACAATCATAGAATTATATAATATTAACATATATTAATGAAACAGTTATAAATAATCCACAACTTGATATAACTAATTATTTTTTATTTTAACTTATCTGGCATTTTTTTACGTCATAGATTTATAATATTTACATAACATACTTATGATTTGAACTGTAAGCGATACGAATAATTTTCATGTATTTTGCATTTTTTTTTTTTAATACTCGTATTATTATTTATTTATTTTAAAATAATAAAATATACAGTTTTGCTTATAAGCAAATACATAAATTTTTTATAGATATACATTTTTTGTAAGCGAATTTTATATATTTCTTGATTACTTTTTTAAAGTACTTAATTTACAGATACTTATTGGATAATTTTTAGACAAATATTTTTTTGTCAATATTTTTTTCAAATATCGACTATAAGCTACACATATCATTATCAAAAATATTTTGTTACTCTCGAAAGTAGTACTATATATTCTTTATAAGATAAATTATTAATAAAATAATTTATACTATTTTGGTAAATAATGATTCAAGCTTAAATAAAACAAAATCAAAAAAGCCAAATAATAGTTAATACTCTTAAAACTCCAAAATAAAAACTTTCGTAAAATTATCAACAAATTACTAATACTAAAATATTTAATTATAACATCGTGTATTTTTTTTAATTAATTTAATCATCAATATATAGTGGAATATTTTTGATACTAATTAACTAATTATAGTGTTTAAATTATTTATATATAAAAAAAAAAACAATTTTTAAATATTTATTATAAGCAAAGAAAAAATTGTAAAATGCACTTACATTATAATATTATTTTTTAATTTGTGTGATTTACAATAGGTTCCATCGGTAGTGATGGAGAACTTTTTATGCAGAATCGAAGAAGGCTATTCAAGACATAAGAATCCGTATCATAACAATTTACATGGTGCTGATGTCGCACAAACTGTGCATTATATGCTTTGTCAAACTGGACTTATGGTAATATTAAAAATATGACAAAACATTATATCATGATTGTAGTATAATATTGTCTATTGAATAAATTAAGGTTTGTAGGTTTGTCTCCAAACTAACATGGGAACCCATCAGTGCAAAAAATTTCTTTTCGATACTTTTTTTTTAATTATTTTAGAATTTATTTTGCATTTTTACCTAATTTATTTTCTTCTTACACAGAATTTATTTCTTTGTTCCCTTAATGTTCCTTTTTTTTTTTAATTAATCCAAAATTTTTTTTATGCAAATTTTTATTATTTTTTTAACTGACTTAATGTTTATTTTTAATACTTTGCTTGTCAATGTCACTACAATAATTTAATTTTAAAATAGGCTTTCTCTTTTAATTACTATTATTATATAAACAATATATTTTTCTAACGTTTTACTCGAAATAAAAAACAAATAAATGTTATTCTTAATGTATCCTTTAAACAAAGTACTTCATTATAATTTGAGCACATATAATTGTAATATTTTAAAATTTTTCTAAATTTACTGTACTTGTATATACTTTTTATTAGTAAGGTGGAATAATTTATCTCGTTAACTATAGAATATCAATATACGTGATAAAATTAATATAAACGACTATGTATTTATTTTATATTTTTTGTGTTTTATAGAATTGGCTAAGTGATTTGGAAATATTCGCAATGCTAATTGCTGCTATTACACACGACTTTGAACACACCGGAACAACAAATAACTTCCATGTAATGTCTGGCACAGAGATTGCTCTATTGTATAATGATCGCGCTGTATTGGAAAATTATCATATTAGTTCCACGTTCAGGTTAGCTGCTTAAGTGAAAATAAATTTTAAATAATAAAACTAAATTATAAAAAAAAAATACATTTTTATGTAGTTTCATTATTTCATTATTTTATTATGATAAATATTATGTATATAAAAAAATATCAATATCAATATTTTGCCAGCTGTTTAAATATTGTTAAAAATTAAATGCCAATGAATTTAAAAACACGTTTGTATATAAATATTTAATTTGAAAACATCTATACTATATTTATAATGTATTCAAATAGTTTGTTTGAAAAAAAAATCAATTAAATAGGTAATATTTTAATGTTTTTATAGAATATTAAAAGATGATGACTGTAACATATTACAAAATCTTACCAAAGAAGAATTTCGTGAGTTCCGTACACTAGTCATTGATATGGTATTAGCAACTGATATGAGCTTCCATTTCCAACAATTGAAAACTATGAAGAGTCTTTTAGCGTCACCAGAACCTACGTAAGTACTTAATATAATTTTGGCTGCGTACGAATTGCGTTCGGTATAAAAATTGCAATAAGTGGTATACAAATAAATTACATCCCAGTTTTTCTATACAACTATATTAATATCACGTCCTGATTATCTAATATCACTTTATATGATCATCTAATCGATAATCGATGTGAGACATGTGAGTATTATGACTGTTATCTATCGAATAATTGCTTGAAATGTATGAAATAAATATATACGGCGGTTAATATGTGTTGTTAACTATCGTGCACCGTTCTTTTTTCAAAAATTATTTAACAATTATAAACAGCATTGGACGTGTTGCAATAAACACGTAAGTCATACGTAAAGTTAAATAATAAAAATTAAATGTTAGATATTAAACATTATAGTGAACATAATTATGCAAGTTATTCTGTTGAAATATTAAATAGATAAAAATTAGGTAATAATTTAAGACAATAGACGATCTATAGATAATCCATCAAAATTAATTCATACGGAATTATCAAATGTCATATCAACATCAACCTCGAAGGCAATTATTAGTGTAGTTGTTAAATATTATCGGAACACAATTCGTATGAAAAACAGATTTTGGGGCGCTATTTATTTGCTGCAATAATTTAAAATTAAAATATTTTTATAACACTATCGTACACAAGATCTTAAACAATTAAATAACTATTTAGTAAACTCTTTGAACTAGTATTTGTAATAGTTATATAAATTTTACTTTATTCGAAAAATATAATACATATTATTTTGAAAGACATAATATTAGTTTCCACATAACTAATTTACAATTTCGTGAATTTCCGTGTACGTAATGCGATTTATTTTTATGAAAACTTTACAGAATCGACAAGTCCAAAGCAATGTCAATGGTGTTACATTGTGCTGATATATCACATCCTGCCAAAGAATGGGATTTGCACTATCGATGGACATGCCAATTGTTGGAGGAGTTCTTTTTACAAGGAGATATGGAGAAAAAGTTAGGACTCCCATTCAGCCCGTTATGTGACAGAAATAATACACTAATTGCTGAGTCTCAAATCGGTTAGTATTTTAATTAATCTAACATAATATGTGAAATGAGTAAAGCAAGTGATTTTAAACAACAGCACAATAACTAATATTAAAAATATTCTGATAACTAGCTTTTTAACAAAATTATAAAGTATAAGTAACTAATAAAGTAAATAAGAATAATTTTTACTTTCTAGGGTTTATTGAGTTCATAGTTGAACCTAGCATGGCCGTGTGTAGCGATATGTTGGAATTAATTTTGGGTCCAATCAATTTGGTTAATCCACCCAGGAATATTTCAAATTTTGTGGTTGACGACAACGATGAGAAAGAAGATAAATCAAACCAATCCGACGTAGCTATCGCATGCACAGCAATGAGCTGTAGTATTGAAGATAAAAAAGATACAAAAGACAACAAAGATATCGAAGTTAAAAATGATACTAAAGATAAGAAAGATGTCAAAGATACTAAAGAGACCAAAAATACCGAAAGCACCAAAGACACTAATGACTCGGATTCTGTAAGCTCGGCAATAAAACTCGAAGAAACATCTGACAAAGGTAATATGTCATCGACTGATAGCCGAAACTGAACCAAATTCTAAAATGTTTAGTACAACTTTCTACAGTTATAAAACCCACTAGATAAATCAATATCCCCATTACCTATCAAAATTGCTAAACAAAACATTGAATCATCCAAATAAAATTAAATTTCAATTTATTTTAAAAATATTAAATTATTTTTGAAGCATGTGTATATGTATTATTTAATTGAATAATTAACAAACATTTTGCATATAATATTATAGAGTAGACTTGTTTACAACGAAATATCGTTAGATTTTGTTTGAAGCAAAATCGTAAATTATTATTCAAACTCATGGGTTGTATTTCTAAAAACTGCGAAGACTAAATCGAAAACTATATTTAAATAAGTACCACAACAATTTCAATAAATTATTACAGATAAATTAAGATACGTAAATCACTCTCTGCTCAACTATAAATCTATTATTAATTATAAATGTATTTCATCGAGAAAATTATACTTTTTTCGACTAAGCATTTTTTACTAAAAATATTTTTGCATTCAATTAATAAAATCTAAAATCTGCTTTTAATATAAATAACATATTAAGAACACGCGTACATTAATTATTGTACATATTTATACAAGATTCTAATCACAAAAATTCAAGTACAACGTTTAAAATTACCAAGTACCTATATGTTTAATAACATATTTCTATAAAAATAAACTATTAGCTGTAGTTAATTAAAAATAACTATAAAAGTTATAAACTGTTTTTTTTTTTTCAGAACCAAAACAAGAAACAAATGCTGAAAATCCCCAAACTAGCAATAAATTATATAAAATAAAAAAACCATGGAATGATTGTTTAGCCATAAACAAAATGAAGTGGAAAGTACAAGCAGCTAGAGGTAATTTTTTATACATATAATATATATTTATATACTGTGTGTTATACGCCAATTAAAAATAAAACCATCACTTATTTAATAATGGTAAAATATACAAATTTATAGAAGCAAAACTGAGAGAGTCTAAGACAAAATATACAATGCGTGACATCAGAATGCCGCTTCCTGATGAAATTTCACAAGACGATAACAAATCATCATCAACAGATGTGGAGATAACAGAATAAACGACTATACTGCAGTTTGATTTTTAGTCACATGACTATCGACATGTAATTATTAGATTCTAAATTTGGAATTTTGAAATATTAACAATATGTTGTAAATATTTATTAGAAGTACTCTTCATAAATTGTAGACAATTTAAAATTAGTTATTTAAAATATAAGTTCATTTTAAAATAGGTAAATTAGAGACTAAATAATATCTGTACATAATATATAGGTATGAGTTTAGGGGAGGTTTTCCATGTATGTATATATTTATCTACACGTGTATATATATGCTTATATACATAATGTGTATATAATGTATTATATTTATGCATGTGTGTGTGTATATAATATTATACCTAAATTCTTTTTTTCGCTATACAAGGCGTTTTCACCTATAGCTGCCAGATGAATTTTATTTAATTACTACCTAATCATCTAAATTATTAATTTTACCAGTTTAAATTTTTCAATCACAACTGTTGACCTTCTTTATCTAATTACATCTTTAACAATCATAAAACTCTAATAAGAAATGAACAATTATTTCAATATCTATTAAGTAGGTATTTATTATCCATGATGATCAAACATAATTCTGACAAAACTTAATTAGATATTAAGTCTAAATTATTTTTAATTCATTAATTCAACTTTAAAACTCGTAACTTAACTAGGTATAAAAAAATGTATGTATTATATATTGTACAAAATGTATATTGACTATTTAAAAAATTGTTGTCGTATTAGTTAAATGTAAGTTGTTTAAAACAATTAGTGAGCTTAATTTGCGACATTTATTTTTTTGTGAGTTGAAGTTACTACAGGATTATATTGTGTATTGTGTTAAACATTCAAAATGGTATTTATAATGATTACATACGTAGCACATTATTTTTTCAAAACAAGCTGAAATCTATCAAAATACTATTCTGCTATGCTCAATTATTATATATTGAAACACTATACAAATTATGCTTGCACAATAAAGTATAAAATAAAATGAAAGGTTAGTGCGTTCTAATTTCAATTTTAACGGTTAAATTATTATTTATCTGTGCCATAACGTTTACTATAGACATTTTTGTTTCTGGTTCATAGTCGTGCGATGGACACATATCGTTGAATAATAAATTACTTCGCCAATATTTGAATATATCGCATTATCGTGTTTAACGACTATCGAATCATCAGCTTAATTTAAAATAAATCAGCTATTCATAAACTACAAAATTATAAATTGTTATAAACAAAATTCAAGTTTTTTGCCAAAAAAAAAAAAAAAAAAAAAAAAAAAATGAATAAAATTAAAACTTAAAAAAATAAAAAAAAATGTACATAATGAACCCCGTTTCTTGTTTTACATACTTATATAAACAGTTATCAAAAATTTGTTTGTTTAATATAAGCTGATTCAAGTTTAGTACTTCTATTTTCTAAGGAACTTACATATTAAAATGTTACCTTTAAGTCATATAATACCCAATATAATATTTGCAAATTATAAATTGTGTATATAATATACGTAAGTGGTACTACGGTGTACCAGATAGAAAGCAGTGGCGGGCAAATGAGCATATTTGTAATAAAAACATCTGAAATAAAAATACATACAGGACTTTACTTCCCGAAATATAGCATATGGATCCGCCATTGGCTTAACTAAGTATTTAATCCTTGCGGTTGAATGCATTTCAAATATATTTACATAACATCAAATTACGAGTTTCGTCAAGTCATTATGACATACGTACCTACTCGGATAGAAAACAATTATATCATAACACCAAGTTGTTTTACTTGAAACATTATCGAATAGTATATAATTTCATACTATATATTATAAATTTATTACCTGATAAGGTTTTAATTTTCGTGGGAGGGGGGTTGAGGAAATTTCAAACTTATAAGACGCACGTCAGAAAGTGGTTTGTTATCATTTAAAAATATTTAAAATTATCTCCAAGTATATTCAAACATCGGTGAACTAATATTATGATCATTTTTGTTGAACATATTTGTTTGAGTTGCCTATAGTGGCTTCTTTTTTTTTTCTGAAATGAGGGGGGTTTTAACTGAATGCGCCTGGTTTTTATGATTGAGTTTTGTGATAATATATGTTTTTTTTTTTTTTTAATTTAAATCAAATATTAAAATTAAAAAAAAAAAAAAAAAAAATAAAAAAAAAAAAAAAAAAAAAAAAAAAAAAATAGTAATACTAGTTATTTTGTTCAGTAGATATAGTATGAGATATATGATATAATATATTAGGTGTTTATTTTACAATTTATTATTATATTAACCACTTATGATGATCCATTTGTTCCTTTGCTTGTGATACCCCAAAAAACACTTCATGTTTTTATTGGTGTCTTATGAAATAAAATCAGTTAAAAAATAAATAAAAATAATTCACTTAAGTTAACCTGACTTGATTATCTAATACACAGGTTTAAATAATGTGTTTTTTTAATTTAAAAGTATCAAAACTGAGTAAATCAATTATACACTTATTAATCATAGGTGTAAAAACCTTGTTGATGTTGATACAGTAGCGCACAAACTATGCTTTTATGTGTCTAATATTCTGACATATATTTAAAAAATGGATGACTGGTTGATATTATTTGAAAAATTGTGTGGTTTATAAAGAGCAAAAGGTAATTATATGAAAATGTAAGTAATTAATAAACTAATTGGATTGAAAATGTTCGATGTGCTGGTTGCGCTTTAGTCTAAGGCACATTTCAGAAGGATATATTATTATGTGCGTTACTAATGTTTAATAATTTAATCGAATAACCTAAACTTTATATTGATGTTTATTTTCTAATTATCTTGATGTTCTCAAATATAATTAATTAGGACCTTTTTGTTTAACGTAATATGTTAAAAATATATATTAAATATTTTAAGAACATAGAGAGACGGGAAGTATTGAGTAGTAACATATAAAAAAATAAATACATTTCTTTTTATACTATAATATATGTATCACACATTTAAAACAATGATCTTAGATCCGACCAAAAATAACTATTCACCCGTCCATTAAAATTGATTGTTGTACAAGCAAACACCATTTATATTGTAATTAATTATTAATGATCAAAATATTAAATATCTATATTATGACTTTTAATATAATAAAAATGCAGTGCCAAATTTGAATAACATTCAGTTTTACACATTAATATCTAGTACATAATAGGTACATTAGATAAAAAGTGGTTCAGAAATTAGGTACCGTTGTAAAAGTTTCATGTCACATCCGTGTGGGTTTCAATAATAAAGTAATAGTTATTGCTAATTTCAATAAACGAAAAAGTGGTTTTTTTCTCGATTATTTAAATATTTCCATTGACACCACTTAACTACAAGCTAATGGTATAAACGGAAATACTGTTTACTTCAATAATATTACCAATCGTTTATTGAATTTAAAAAAATCTATTGAAATGAAAATTAAATGCCACAACCTATTACAAGTTATAGGTACCTTCTTTTATTTTTATATATTTTTTTTTTAATTAAACTGGAATAACGGAAATCTAAAATATATTTTATTTTTTTTCCTATATAATATATATCCAAATATTCTGTTGACATAGTTCTGGACCATTTTGTACCTATAGGTACATACAAATATAAGACAAGGTCGTATATAATATTATACAACCTATTTATCGATTTTAGGTGTATTAGATTTTTGTTATTAATTATAAAATGTTAATTTATACTTTTAAGACTATCTATATGTTTTTATTTGTACATAATTTCAAATATTACTTCTTATTTATATATTATATAATATTTTAATAAATATAAAAAATTTAAGTACTATATATTATTGAATGTAATCAATTATTATTAAGAACATTGATAGTAAACACATATTATGTATTTATAATATGATTATGACTATTATATGATTACAATTTGAATTGTTATAATATGATTTTATTATTAATGTTTGAATAACGATTTGATTTACCTAACGATTTTTATTGGCGATTGAATATTAATTCACATGATATGAATATGTCCACTGATATTTTTACATTCATATCTACAGGGTGTTAAAACAGAACAAAAAACCAAGAGCCATTTTTCATAAGAATTTGAAAAATGAACAAGACTTATCATGACGTTTAGCATCATTTATTTTATTATGAAAATAATATCTTTGATGAATTCGTGTTTAGTTTTTCTTTTAAGGTTATAATATATTCATACCTACTATACAACATCGAATTAACGTGAATTTTTTTTCTCAATATTTACATCGATCGTTTGAAAATTTCGACATAGTTTATATGTTATACGTTATTATACGATGCCTACATTCGTCAGTGTATCGATATTTATCAATAAATCGTTTTAATAATAAATCATAAACTATAATATCAACAATTAGAATTAGGTACCTACATACTACATATACATAGGTAATTACAGTTATGGCTATCATAATATTATAATTTATAACATTCAAACCTTGTCATTATTATGCCTATACATACCGATAATATCGTGCACCCTGTATATGTGAAGTGAACAGTTGTTATAATGTCCATTCGCATAAAAAAAAATTGAAAACAATTAAAACCGTTATTACAATTTATCATTAGGTAAATTTAAAATCCATAACATTATTTTATCAATATTTCATTTATTGCAGTTATTTAGAATAGATATAACATAACATAATTACATTAGTGCCATGTGTATTGATAAATCATACCTACTATTAAGTTTTTGTTTAAATTTATTATGTATACCTACCAATATCATATGCCTACTTATTATTTCACTATAGTACTTATATTATACAATGTTTATTTGTTAAGTTCATTATTTTTGTTTTGCCTAATAATAAATGTGAACGGAAAAAATTGGTTTTTGTGTAAATTGATTAATACCAAGTACCTACCAACATCAATCAATATTTTTCTTGCACCTTATCTCCTGGTTAAAGCTAATACATGTCTATTATATTTCTGTTTTTAATATTTAATTTGAGATTATAATATTAAGTAAAATAAAATAAATTTGATTTAAACACACCTACCTATGTTTAATTCATCTATCCGAGTCTTATGTCAGTTAGCGTACAGTTAAGCTTCAAAGCATCTATGAATAAATATTTTCATGTAAAAAAGGCTAAACATAATTTCTGACTTTATAACAATATGTACCTATATAAAACTTAATATCCTGATCTTCTATAATCATTTGACAAATAATCAAAATCAAACAAATTATTACGTATTTTATTATCCCAAAAAGCTTAATAATAATATATATATACATAATATAATAGGTGAATTTAAATAAAAAATATTTAGATGACTTGTCAATAATATGACTAAATAAATAATTAACATGAAGGAGGCACTAAGAATGCATATGTTTTGTAAAATCAAACAAGTTCCGCCCACTGCATTGAATCATGATAGGGCTGTGAATTTTGTTCCATCCGAAGCGCACTGAGGGTGCTGTGGGTTCAAACATTACTTATTCTACATTTTATACATCTAAACTCTCTAAATCAATTTTTGGTAACCATAAAGTTACCATTCCATGGAAAGAAAGCTGAAGTTCATAAGCAGACTTATAATATGGATCATTCATCTAAAAACAAATAATAGAAATATTAATAAAGTAAATTAACATTTAATTCTTATCCTTCTAAACAAATTAATAAAGAATACCAACTAATTTTTAAATATATACAGCGACTATAAATTATGAAATGTATAAGCATATAGTTATTATATAATATATTTGAACTTCAAAAATATATTAAAATATTTTAATTATCAACATACAAACACTGAATTAAAACTATGTATAATTACCATCATAAAGTAATTCAAAATAAAATAGAGATTATAAAAAATATATATACTAAATAAGTAAATTATGAAATATTTGTTGTTTGTACTTTGTAAATAAATGACTAATTGTTGACAACAAAAATATAATGTATTTGAAACAAGTTTTTATGCTGTAGTACTATGTTTTTACGGAGTCTGCAAGAATAAATATTAGGTATTTAAAATTGTATATCCACAATACTTACATCAAAATAATCCATCCCATTTTTAAACACTTTATGTATATCTTTAAGTATATCAATAAGTGATATATACGATGAAGTAGATACAAAACGTTCTTTTACATCATTCAATGATATAGGTTCTTCAACTATTTCATAATAATGTGGATACTAAAACACATATAATCTTGTATTACTAAAATGTTATCTTATTTACAATAGTGTTATTTACAGTTGCTCTATTCAAACATTCTCGATAGTGTTCACTATCTTCATTTTGACAATACAACATCATTAATATGCGTTCAATGAGTTTTTGTTCAGAATGACCACTGACAAAATAAGCTGTAACATCCTTTTGAAGTAAAACTTCAACATGAGATGAAATGTCTTGGCAAAGAGTACATGTCCACGTGTTCAATAATGGACTATAAAAGGTAAGATACAATAATTATATAAATAAATAAAAATTAAAAAAAAAAATTACTTGTCAGGTACAAGCTCCTTGTCTATAAGAGGAATATGACAGTCATTATGATAAAACCTATTACAACCCTTACAATTTAGTAGTTCATCAACAGTCCATTGATTACAACAAGAACAATTTAAAAGTGGTTCATATTCCGAACTATCAGAATCTAAAACACAAAATTAAAAAAAAAAATATAATTAACATAAGCATTAATATTTAAGTGTTTTTTAATTTAGAAAAATAATATTATACCAGACTGCGAAAATAAATTAAATAAATTATTTTCTTCCATTTCTTCTACTTCTTCTATTTCTTCCTTAATATCTTCTATTTCTGGTTTAATCTCTTCCATTATCGGAGTTGAATTGAGAGGTTGCTAAAAAATTATTTAATAAAAATTATATACTACAATATGTTGAATATTTTATTATAAATAATTATGAACTTGATAGCTAAAAAAAATATTAAAACAAAATTGTTCTTTTTGCCAATAAAATTGTTACCAAAATAAACATAATTGTTTAAAAAATTATAGTTCAATCTTAAAAATCAATACATTCTAAAATTATACTATTAAGATAACAACTATCAGAATACATTAACAAAAACAAAATATTATTGCAATACTTTAAGCCCTTACATTTTTTCGAAGAGGTTGTTGAGCATTATTTACCATTATTCTATAATCTGGTAAACTAACAACTGGTGTTGAAGTTATATTTCCAATTCCTCGAAATTCTAAAGAAAAAAAAATAATAATAATTTATTAATATAATTTATAAACTCGGTTGTATACTAACTTACTTTCAATACATTCTCTTATGGATTGTTCATGATTATTATATTCCAAACTAGCATTAAAACTTACTATTTCTCTAGGCATATTATCAATATAGCTTCTAGAAAGTGTCATTTTATCTGTGACATTTCTAAAATAAATAATATACTGTTACAAATGTTATATTGTTTATTTATCTTATTTAACATACTTTGAAATTTTAACAATGTCAAATGTTTTATTATTGTCAATAATAGAATTTGTCAAATTAAAATAATACTCATTTTCTTTTTTAAAATCATTAAGGACTTCTTTATTTATAATAATTTTACCAACAAGATCTGTGAAATGTATTTCAAGTGATGTTTTTAGTTCAAGTGAGCGTTTATAAATTTCTTGATATAACCTGCAACAAGACAATGAACAAAATCATTTGAATTTTATTACACAATTTACAAGTTATAACTTACAGATTCATAGCTTCATTAATTTTTTCATTAATTTGATCCTTCTGAAATTGCAGATTTTCAATATCTTGACTTAATTTTTCATTCAAAGAATCTAAAAAAATGTTATTTTTTCTGCAAAATAAAAAATAGATTTTAAACTTTAAAAACAATAATCTTTTTCACTACATTTTAATTTCTTAAAATACCTCTATCTGTTAAATTAATTTTAATTTTTTTTAATATTATTATTTAATGATAAACTTAATTACATGCAACTATAATTTGGAATTAAAAAAAAATATATTGAATTAAATTTTAAATTCATATAATGAAGGTAACTAAACACAGCATCTATTAATAGTACTTTGGTAAATACTTGAAATAATAATTTAAAATTTATATGATTTATACCAAAATAAAAATAAAATTGCTATATTTTTTCTGTATAATCTCAAAACTAGTAAGATAAGTATTTTATTTGATAGACATAAGAATGTAATAGTACTTTTATAGCTGAGAACAATATGTTTGGACACTGCATGTCAATATGTTTATTGAAGTTTAAGAATTAATTGGTATTTAATATTAAACATTTTTAATATTTCTTTATACCATACCTTACTTTAAGTAGATCCATATTTAATTTTAATTTGGTTTCGTCGGCCATAGTCTTAAGAATTTTAAAACCATGACTTCGGTGTTTATTTAAATGACAAAGAGGACAAATCATTTTTGAACATCTTAGACAATATACTTCTATACATTTCTAATACAAAATAAATATAATACATAAAAAAAATATAAAATTATAAAAATATCAACCTAAAAACAAATTAAGTAAAATAATAAAATAAATACATACATAAAATATTGGTTAAAATTTTGTTAAAATATAATTAGAACCCAATTTTTTTTTAATTTAAGTATAGAATGTTATTTTAGATTTTAAGAGGAGCAATGAATATTTTTATTTTACAAAAATTATTTTTTTTTTTTTTTTTGTATGTTATGATTCAAAAAACATTATTCGTGGGGATATATAACTTTAGTGTAAATAATTATATTTTATACACATAGGTAATGACATTTTCAAATTTAAGTATTTCGTCTAACAAATATTAAAATAAATTACTTTATTAGTAATATCAAAAAATAAAATATGAAATTTATTTAGTAATATTATTAAAGACTCATAGACTGTCTTTGCTTGAAATCATTTTATGTTTATAATTACCTATATATATCATTAAATACCCATGACTCACAATTGTACAGCAAAGCAGTATCCACTTACCCCCCTTTTATTTAGTTTATTTAATAATGCAATACTTTTTAATTAATTTAATACTCACTTCAGTACACTCTGGACATGGAATAAATTCTTCTTTCAATGGATAAGTTTTCATTAATATAGGTTTATGATCCTGATTGATATTTAGATGTATCTATAAACAAAAATACATATTTTAAATTAAAGAAATATAGAAATATAAAAGAAATTTAAAAGTACCTTTGAACATGATTTACAATACAAGCTATTACAAGATATGCAGATTTTGTTTGCAATTTCATCACAATTTTGTTCAAAACATTTTTCAACTGTTGATTCAACTGATGACACAATTGGGTAACTAATGAGTTCACTGATAGTCACTATTCCACATTTACATAGTATACCTAGGTTTTTATCTAATTTTAAAATAATTCAATTTTTAAACTTTCTATAATATTGTATAATGAAACCTTAAATTAATTTTACCTGAATCAGTTACATCTTCTGGTACGCAATCCTTACAAATACCATGAAGACAATTAAGGATTTTTGAATTTTTCTCTAATCGTCCATTACAAAATACACATTTTTCTATTGACCAAAGGTCAATATTTTTATTTCCTGGATTCATTATTTTATTAGACCTGAAATGCAAAACATTTTCTCATATATTAATTTTTTTACTCGAATTAACTAAGGTATTTTCAATGAAAATAGTGTAAAGGTACGGTTTCCTTCAACGTCTAGACGCGGAGTCTAGACTCGACGAAACGCTGCATTTCGTCTGGACGCTGCGTTTACCCTGTTTTCTAGGTAGCGTCAGACGCCATAGATTTATTTAATAATTTTATCTCACTCTTTTAGTTTAATTTTACAAAACAGAATCGAGCCAATAACGACCGTTGTCTTTTCCACACGTAATTCTTACTTATAAGTTTTAATTTTTAAATTTTCATTATGGATAAAAATTATTTTTAGAAGTATTATTGATAAAAATAATATTATTTGTGAATAGTTGATTCGTTATGAAAAATTTTATTTTGCATATTTTCGCATATTTTGAGAGTTTTTACATGTTTTTGAGGTTTTTGCATAATTTAAAGATTTTTGCATATTTATTTTTTTTTTGTTTTTTGTTATACTGACGCATATTTAACGATTATTATCGATTGATTCAAAATATGATTTAAAAATTTGTTTTGAATGTAGTAATACTATTTGTGTAGCTAACATTCACAAAAATGTTGCACATGAACGAGATTTATAAATATTCAACAAATAAAAAAACCGTGTAATTATCCGAAATGGTTAATTGAAAAATTCTGATATGCGTAGGTACTTATCATACTTATAATCTAGTATTTTTTAAATATGCTCCCATTACTTCCGTCGACGTGGAACCTTCATTTTCTGCAAATAGATAACTGATAAGTATATTCTAGTCGATAATATAAGAGCCTTTCAGTTCAAAAACATTCGAAAATACCTTATAGTTCAAAGCGATCACGAAAGTTAACATTTTATTAACGACAAACTTTTAGTAAATATTTACCTCTATTAAATATAAATGTGTATTTTTTTTTCAGGACATTCAAAACCCAATTTTTTAAGATGTCATTTTATTTTTTGGATTAATTAATTAAAAATTATATTTAAATTACAATTTTTTTAATATGTATATAAAATAAATCCTTTTTGCTAATGTATTCTTAAATACTTTTTATTTTTTATTTTTAGTGCATATTTTTAAGTTTATCGGGTCATATATAAGCACATATTTTAGTACTTTTTAGCGCTATAAGTTCCGAACCCTGATAATAACTCAATAATTTTTAGTATCCACGTATGAATATAGATTCATACGAGTATACGACATTCTATATTATATTTCTATCATTGTTAATCCGCAATTATTGCCTGTTAATTCGATGTTCATTATTGATTTTTTTTTTTTCTTACTTTCGCGGTAAAATAATTTATGAAGATGATTTCAATGGTATAGCAGACGACCCTAGCTTTGGCCAACTAGGACTGGCTAAACTAATTTTTCCTGAAACACCTGGATCTACTATCAATCTTTTAATATAAGGTATTATAAATTGATTTAAAACTCAATATCTTAAGAAAAAAAAATTGGTTTTATAATATAATGGTTATGGTTAAAAATTATTATTGGATATCAAGTAAAAAACAAAAGGAGATCGTACTTATTTTGTCTCCAAATTAGGAAAATAAATAAAAATAACTTTAAAGGAAATAAATCATAATGGCAAAACCTAAAACTTAATATTATTTTATTTATAAAAAAATTGCCATTTTACAATTAATGCAAGCTTTAAATTATGAAACTTTTTTAAATTATCTGTTTTTTTATCTTGATAAGTGATTTTTTTTATCTATTATTTAGATAAATATTTTAAGTTTTATCTATTATTTCACCTAGATAATTTTTCAATGGATTATCTGTTATCTTATCTAGATAATTTTTTGGTTATTTTTTCCCAACACTGGTTAGTAATCTAGAATACTATTTTATAAATCTTAAAATATTGCATAAAAAATATTATTCTGTGTATGAAATATAATATCATATTTAAAAAGTTTCAATGCCATTCGAATAATATTATTAAGTAACAAAAAATAACTACATAAAATTTTAAATTACTACCTCAAGGTGTTATAGTCTTTTAAGTATACTAGGTATTGATTAAAATTTCTTATTCTTTTTTAGGTATCTGGCAACAGGAGAATCCTTTTCTTTGGCATTTCCCAAAGTTATATTAACATTATAGTAAGAGAAATTTTAGTAGTTATGAAACAAAAATTAATGCCACTATTTTTACCTAGCCCCAGTAAAGTTGACTTAGAGAAGTCTTTATCAGAAGTGGAACTTTCCAAATTGAGTACTAGCTATTGACGAAAAACGCGTTAGAATCCAATATCCAAGTAATTTAGGCTCCTTCTTCTCTAATTTTACAGAATGTTTTTCTGTCATTTTGTTGTTTATGGTGGACTCAAACTATAAATGTATAGCTATTGATGTTGGATCGTTAAGGAAAGAAGGGATAGAGGCATTTTCTTGAAACTGAATATGGGGCAACAATTTTTGAACTATACATTTGGCTTCCCTTCGGATTGTGCACTTACTGCACTTCCTAGTACTGACATAAAAGTGCCACACGTCATATACAGTGATCACGCTTTAAGACTGAACAAACATTTTCGCAAAAATCAGTTAAAATAGACAGTAAAAAAGCAATATTCAATTATCGACTCAGTCGTACTCGACGAATTACAGAGTGCTTTCGGATTATTAAGTTAAGTATCCAGAGTATTTTTTTCAACCTATTTATATAAATACAACAACGTGTGATAATAATTATGACATGTTATTTATATAATATGTTACAAGATGCATCCTTAGAAAAAAAATGGAAAGATATTTTATCAATTGGATTCAGAAGAACCTCCTAGTGCTAACATTTCGTCTTTAGCCAATGAAAGTGGATTTTTATTTTTTAAGTACAGAAGGAGCTTTAACGTAGCGAATATGAGTTTAATAGTTTTATAGTATTTATTATTATCTATATTGTCATTATTATTATACGTAATTGTTATTACAAACTTATAATAAATATTTTTGTTTACCCACGAAAAATGTGTTTAATTATTATAAATGATTCTAATTTCTAACATTTATTCTATACCTATTTATAATCAAAAGAACCATAATATACTATAAGATAAATATACAATTTCATTAGATGCTAATTCTCACTTTTATATTTAAACGTACTTATACTTTATTATTTCAAACAATATTATAAAATATAAAAATAAGCTATGGGTAATATAACTTCTTGAAAATAATAACAAAATATATTTTAATTTAAATCAGTCTTTTAGTAAATTTAATGTTTATAAATAAAATCAACAAACTTCTGAATTATTACAAATTAGTTTTAAAATACAAGTCTTAAACGTCTGAAAATTATAAAGTTAGTATTATTAGCATTATTGTTCTTGAAGGCAACTCTTTAAACATGAAATAAAAAGTAATTGGTATACACATATACTATGAGCACCAGATATTTATAACTTATAAGTAAAAAAATTCCAATGGTTAAACATTAGACCCATCGCTGTAACTGAATGATAAAATCCCTCAAGACGATGTTGAGGTACTGTATGAGTTGGCAGGTGAACTCAGTTTATATTGGTACAATATGTTGTTATAGTCTGATGATACTTGATAAACTTATAGTAGTGTTTGAAAAATTGAATATTTGTCATTCATTTCAGTGATCAACATAAGCGTCCTAAGCTTAAATTCTTTGATCGATTCCGGAGACAATTTTTTAACCTTCATTGCAATCCTTTCAAAAATTACGTCAATATCATCCTCTTCACTCAGGTTTTTCATGCTTGTAGCCAAGAGTTTATTTTGTTCTTGAATACTGAGAATGGTATCCTTAGAATCCTTTAATTATTTGGTCAAAGGAACAGATATCTTATTTTCTTTTGACCGAACACGTTGCCCTGCGCATGAAATTGATAGAAAATCGAACATGATATTTACTGTTAGTTCTTTATCTTTTTGTATGTTTTCTACATCTTCAGATCTAATTTCATCTGTAGCAGATGCTTTTGGCGTATAAGCATCAGTTGTGTCCATATTTATTATAGGTAGTACTAAGGTGAAAATAATTCAAACATATTTATAGTTTTATGACAAAGTTATTTACAAATGATTATTAAGTTTTTGTTTTTGTTTTACCCATGATATTTTATTAATTTTTGTGATTCACTTTTTACTTATTTCGTGATTTTTTGTTGTTTTTTTTTTATCACTTATGGTTTTTAGTGATAATCTTGGGTGAAATATTTAGTTAACATTAAATGTTTATAATAAAATCATTGTTTATAAAAAGTATTTATAATCAATGATTAATGATAATACTCTAGTATTGATACTTTTTTTTTAAATAAGCTTTATTTCAATTATTTTCTGATATATATAAACTAATAAACTATTAGAAGCAATTTTATAGTATATAAGTATGAGCCTTGAGCATACTTTTTTTTGTATTCGACAATGTCCAAAAATGATAAATTCATCATTGTACATCGGTTTTTTAATGTAGAGCGACAACTTATTCATTTATTTATTAATGGAATTTACATGCACCTTATAATATTATTATTTTAAACTTTCTGTTTCTCTATGTGGTTGAATGGGGTTCTTTTACATATCAAAATATTTATTAATTTATTTATTTAATTTAATAAAATTCAATAATCAAATATGAAACATGTTTACATATTAGGTAATGAAAAAGGTAATAAGAAAAATAAACAATTGCTATTAGAAATCAAATCTTCTTTAAATCAAACAAAAATTAATTATTTTTTCATTAAGTAATTAGTTTACTATTATTTTTTATTCAGAAAGCAATGTTATCAGATGTCCAAAAGACACTCAAAACAGTGGATGTGATAATTGTGTTGAAGTCACAAATGGTAAAATTATTATTAAAAATATATTTATTTATTTTCATTAAGTAATTTGCTTATTAGCATATTTTTTCATGCAGAAAACAATGTTATTGAATTTCCTGAAGACACTAAAAACAGTGAATGTGCT